CTGAAGATAGACAAATAAGCACAGAAGTTTTCAGTTTTATGATCTATTTCTATACAAGTATAGAAGAATCTATAGAAAAAAGGTCTATAGAAAAAAAATCTATAGAAGTTCTGCTAGGAGGACCTAAGGGAAGTCTGTGCTCTTGAATTTACAAGAGGGGTTTCTGTTGTTGTTGTTAGTGTTTGCTCATTTGTTTTTCAGATACTACTTTCACATTGCCTCAGACTCTTGAGATAACCTACTGCCCTATGCATTTCAACCCAGAATGTCCCCAGTAAGCGAATTAGCAGTCTGCCATTAGTGTTAACTGTAAAGTTATTAGGGTATCATCTAATGAGAAATGTATAGCGCAGGTGTGCATTAGTAGAACTGGTAGAAAATATTGAATTCTCCCTAATTTCCTCAATAGATAGATACATTCAGAGATGTGGGGTGTTCACTTTATTTCCTGGTCACTATGACATGATGTGAGTCATAAAATACTACAATTACCCTGTACCACCTGTGAAGACTTCCTCTATGTTGGCTCCAGTGGGCATTATTATGTATTAGGTTAAATATAGTCACAGAGTACCAGCTAAAAGGGAAAGGTACAGATCAGTACTACTCATAAAGAAAGCACTCTCCTAACTATCTGAGACAGATGCCCTAGAAAAATGAAGGTAATTGTTTGTTTCTTCTGAGACATCAGTCAATGGGTATGTCCTTAGACTTCAGTGGATTTCTGATTAGCCAGTCACTTCTTGTTTTAAAAAAGAGGATCTTTTTGATTTGGGTCTAGCCTGGGTCATCTTGCCACTGAGGCTGTTGCCAAACTGTATATAGCACTTCTGCCTCAGCACAGGAAAACCACACTAACCTCTTAGATGTCCTCAAAATATCTCTGTGAAGGTTTCCCCCACTAAATGTATGTCTAATCGTCCCCCAGCTGCTTCTCGGAGACTGGCAGGTATCATTTTGCATCCCTCAGTGAAAATGCTGTAAAACATATATTGAGCTGGTTTCCAGCTGTGTTTGTTTAGGTAGGAATATTTTCTTCTGCTTGCAGCACGGGCAGTTATTTGGGATTCTTGTCAGAGTTTTCTTTTAGCTTCCTTGTATATAGTTCTTCTGTAAATGCTTTCAGCGTTCACTGTCTTTCTACCCTAAGATGCTTTTTAGCATGTCTCAGAGAGGGATTTTGTAGATGAGTATCTGAACTACCAAACTTAAAATGGCTTGACAAGTAGCATTGAGATGAGCTGAGTAAACTTTATTTTTTAACTAAAACTACATTCATCACCTTTGTCAATGAAGTCATAGCAAAAATTTCTGTAAAAATTTGAAAAATATTTACTTTTTAAAATGTCGATTCCCTTTTCCTCCAAAATTCTCCTTTAATTTTAATTTAGTATTCAGTGAAGTACTTTTCTTTATATAATATGTAATAAATTACTTATTATTATATATAGTTTTTATAAATGAAATATAATTAAAAATAAATTATAATTAGTTTATATATAATAGATACTTTGTTTGGAATCAAAAGAGACATTGGTCTGAATCCAGAATTATTTTAATTTTAGTGCACTAAAATATAAATATCTTAAAATTATAGTTAGGTCAACACAAAGAATGTTTCTGATTTTGTTTACAACAGTTACCCAGTGCTGAATGAGCTGGAGCCCCTGGGGCCCACCAGCTGCCTGCCTTTGACTTATTCTCCTTTTCTGCTAACCACTCTGTCCACACGTTAGGAACTGACTACATGTAGCTTTAAATTAAATAGCAAAGGAACTACATGTATTTAATGTCATATCATTTGTGAACTCTTATCTGGAATTAATTCATTTAAAAGCTTGTGACAATTTAGTATTCTGTTACACTGCTGCTATCTATATGTGTTGAATTTTTCTTATTTAAGGACATATTTCTACCTTGGAGTCTGTCTTTAATCGCTTACTGTGAATGGCTAGGTAGATCACCAGAGTGTATAATAATGTTGATAAAAAATTGTACACCTCTGGGAATCCTGCCTAATATCACAAACTTATCTCTGCTGTATTCTTAATCTCTCACTTTGGGTTTTTTGAGGTATTTCCATTTTGTCTTAAAATAGTTTGTAACCTCTTCCAAACACAGCCTTTGTTTTCCGGTGTCTGCACTCTAGAATAAGAGGGCATCTGTCCTTGGATGAGACTTCTTGGTAGTACTGCAATGTCATTATTGTCATATAGGTTTTAATATGGTATACTAAATAGAAATTTAAAATAGTGAAATAAAATAATGGCAGGGTGCACCTCTGATATTTTTAGCAGTAAAAAAGCTGTATTGTATTTCTACAGGAAGAACGGGCGGTTACCTTCACCGCTCATACATTCTGTGACTTGTTCCATTTGGATGAGTTATTTTTCAAACGCCAATAGGTTCGTCACCTACGGGTTACTTACCTTTGCAATGTGTCGTAGCCCTTCCCATTGCCCCTAATTTGCTGCCCCTGTAGCAGACTTCTCGTGCTGTCCCTTGCCCCAGTAGCCTGAACTCACATAGGACGACAAAAAGGAGAAGGAGTTCTCCAACCGGGCTGTAGCGTGACCCAGAAAAGTAGACAACGGCAGCTTTTCCAGGTAGGGCAGCCTGAACCTCATCTGAATCTCGGTCCTAACCCACATTTCAGTGAAATGAAACAAGTACGTTGGCCTTACGCCCTCCGCTTACACAGCAGCTCTCAGAAGTTTTTTAAGAGCTGGGTTAGGTGATGGACAGCAGATGAATTACTGCTGCCAAGCCACTGTAAAAACCTGAGTATGCCCGTGATGGCCTCCTTTCATGCTGCCAGAGGGCAGAAGGGTAGGCAGTTTCTGGCTGGATTTGAGTATTACTTTTAAAAAAAAACCTTTAAGTTGTGGGAGAGTCTAATTGATAGGAGAAAGAGAGCACAAATGACAGAGAGGGGTTTTTTACCAAGGCCTGTAGTGACAGGGCAAGGGGTAGTGGTTTTAAACTGAAAGAAGGTAGGTTTAGATTGGATGTGAGGAAGAAATTCTTTACGATGAGGATGGTGAGGAACTGGGACAGGTTGTCCAGAGAAGTTGTGGCTGCCCCATCCCTGGCAGCGTTCAAGGGCAGGTCGGATGGAGCTCTGAGCAACCTGGTCTGGTGAAAGATGTCCCTGCCCATGGCAGCGGGGTTGGAATGAGATGATCTTTAGAGGTCCCTTCCAACCCAAACTATTTAATTTTGACTTGAGTTTTTGTTAGATTGAGGTTTTTATTTGCTTGGCCTCTTTTTTCTTTTTTTTTTTCCCCTCTTTCTTTTATTGTAGCTTTTTGGCCCTTACAAAAAAAAAAAAAAAGGATTTCATCCTCTTATTTGCCCATTGGACTCATCATTGCGATTTCTTGAGGGTAAATTTTGTCATGGAAGGATGATTACATGCTTTTCAGAACAATTTAATTTGATGTAACAATACTGTAACTGTTGCTAAATCTTCCAGAGAGATTCTGTAGAATATCCAAATTAAGTGCAATAACCAATCCATGTCTGTGTTTGAATAGTAGCTAACTGTACTTTGTTTTGGATAATGCATTTGTACTGTTTTAAAATTAGTAAAAATTATCTAAGAAAAGGTAGATTTGTCCTACCAAAGATAAAACATTTTTATCGGTAATGAAATATTGTGACTTTCTATCTAAGTGCTGATATAATTTCACAAATGTTTTGAATCATGTTATCATGGGGAACAGGGGACTCTTTATCTGTGGAAGGTCTAGTCAGGAGACGCCTAACATTAATGGAGTTAATATACAATTTCCTATAATTTGCAGTTTAACCATATTGCTGTTGTAGGTGGGCAAGAAAGAATGCTGTGATACCAAGCCTGAAATGATTTAATCAGGAATGTAAATCAGTTATGTGCTTCAGTTACCAAATGTTGATAGAATTGGCTATGGTAGACCGTTGTTTTTTAATTACAGCTGGTCTGTAATGTTGTTGTGTTACCAGGTTCCAAGAAGGAAAATTGTATAGTATGGCAGTTTGCTATGCCAAATGACCACTGCTACTGCCAAGTATAAATACTACTAGGAGTGGTTCTTCTACAGGATGATAACCACATCCCTAAAGTAATGAATGCCACACTTCCCTATATGTATTTATGTTTGGATAATTTATTTAAATAATGTTCCTAGTACATGCTTTATAGCCTTCTGCCTTTTGCTATACAAATTTTAGCTTATATTGCAGACTGTGCAAGTCATTTGGCAAATGTAATTTCCATCCCTGCATACTAATCGATTTCTTCACAAACACCTGCTATCAGTTATGATAATAAAAATGCCATTCTAAATTGAAAAGGGGCCAAATGGAGCTTCCTAAGGAAATGACTTAAGTGTCTTTCAATGTCTTTAATGTAGTAATGTTCTTGTAGTGCCAACACTTTTTTTGAGCATTTGCATTTTATATAATTTTACTCTATTACATCATTTTTCCGTCTAAATGGTTCCTCATAACCATTGCTACGAAGTAGTTCATAGTGAGATTGGAGAGGAATTTCTGTGTTTCCTCTCTCATGGGACTAAATCCAGCAACTTTATGTAGTCAAAATTCCTTAGCACAGATCTGACTGGAACATCTGGCCACTACACTAGTATAAATAATAAACGGCTGTATTGGTTCGTATAACATCACTGGGAAAATGTTGTAAAGTTGGTGGGTGCTTTGCCCTTGGACTGCATGCCAGTTTCTTCCTAAAATATAAGCCTAAATTTAGCAGCCAGATTGCAAGTAGTGTTTGAATTATCCAGGGTCGCTTTATGGCTCCCTCCATCCCAGGAAATAACTTCCCAGCAACGGTCTTTGCCAGAACCTAATCATTTTCAGCTCTGCTGGGTCTTGTCTCAGCTCCGGAATGTCTCACTGGCTTTCAGCTGTATTGTCATCTCCCCTGACAATGTCCTCTGCGTTATTTGTAAGGAAACAATCCATTTTACTGATTTCTTCACGTTTTCATTTTCTCTCAGCTCTAGCCGCCCAAGCATATGCGCTCAAGGAAGAGAACGATAGTCTTCGATGGCAGCTGGATGCTTATAGGAATGAAGTGGAGCTCCTGAAACAGGAGAAAGGACAACTCTTCCGAACAGAAGAAAGCCTTACAAAGGACCAGCAGCTGCAGTTCCTACAGCAGACAATGCAAGGCATGCAGCAGGTATTGCTAAGGAAGAAAAGAACAGGTCTTCTTTTTTAGGAAAGTGGTACCGTGGGGCTGTGCTGTACTTAAGACTATTAGTCATGAAGGTCCTGATTTCTTTTCAGAGTCAAAATTTTACGGATTTTAGATGGGGGAAAGGGGAGGAGAAATTGGGGACATATTTAGGGATAGTTATTTTAGGAATTCATCAACTGTAAACCCATTGATCATTCAAGAAAACTCCTTATGCATGTTCTAGTTAGGAGCAAATTACTTCAGTACATCCCCGATTGCTCTCCCGACTTAATCCAATTGGCTCTAATTCCACACAAAAGTTCAAGAAAGTTTATCTAGTGTAGCATAGCCAATGTTCTGTGGTGTCTTCATTTGCATTCATCTGCATCTTCAGATGCATCTCTGCTTCTCAGCTTTGTCTTTTTCTGCTCATGTCTGAGGATGACTGAGACATCTCCAGCTCGTCCAGACTACCCTCCTGCTAACTTGAAAGTGCATAGCAACATCAATGCTATCTCCTGAGCTTTTATCATTTATGCTGACCCACGGGTGTAACCTTTTCACTCAGGCATTTTTTTAAAGAAGTCGTTTAGTGCAGCAGCAAAGCTTTTTCTTTGACACCAGTCAGCAAGAAACCGCAATGTGTCCCTGCAGGGGTGGGTCAGTTTATCTCAAGCGTTCTCCTTTATTTGTTGATGTGGTCCTGACATTGTGCTGGGCAAGTCTTGGCAAGCGCACCCAGACTGCTCCCGCTGCTTCATCCGACACGTCACTAACACGTAAGCACCCCTCCTTCAACACGCATGTGTATAACATCGTTCCTGCCCAGGCACTTGTATTCAGCTGATACGAGACAGAGCGCAAGGGCAGTGTCTCACCATGACGCTGGATTGGGGTCCCACCTAGAACGGAGCTTCTCGAGATGGCACTGCAGAGGTTAATTTTGCCTCCTTCATCTGTGCCCTGAAGCAACGCGGGCACCCCTCTATCGGTCCCGGTTATTAGATTCCAGAAGGGGACAAGTTGCACCCACTTCCCGATTGCAGTAACCTGCTTTTTTATGACAAAACCCAGGAGACATTAATTTACATGTGAGCTGCCTAGTTGGGTTAGGAATTGCATGGCTATCACGGTACCCGTCGAATCCAACAAGCCTGCAAATCCCACCAAACGCCAAATAACAGAGCACAAGACAAGCCTACACGTGTGTTTATATAGCCCCTTTAAGCCTGCAAAGTTTTACAAAATTAGGGTGATTTATGGTACAGTGGAATACTTCTGAACAAAATATTTGAAAAATCAAAAATCAGTCATCGATAATGCAGGCATAAAATCTTTCCCGAACTTAGGGATGAAGTCATTAATCAGAAATACTTGAGGTTTCAGTATACTTTAGATATGCTTGAGGTCTATTCACAATCTTATCCTTATATAAATGGATACTTAAATATCACTGGCTTCATTAAATTTAACTGCATATATAAATATTGTGCTAAATTTCAGCCTGGTGCTAATTCTCCATTAAAATTAGTGAAAAGTGGGCACAAAATACTACTAAATCAAAACGCTAGAGCCCTAATGCTCATTTTGCATTATTATAATTTCCTACCTGGGGTCTGGATGAAGGATAATCAAGTCTGTAGAATATAAATAGATTTCTATTGAACTTCAAGCAAATGTTAATAAAGCAAGTCAATAACAGAGAGTGACTTACTTATCTCTGTTCAGCTAGCAATGGACATTGTAGTCCCTATTCCTCTGAGAGTTTCCATGTTCATGACAATTTTGCTGTGAGGTTCTGAATTTTTCTAGTTTGCCATCTCGGGGTCAGACCTACTAACTCCCAATGGGATATAATTAGAGATGGCCCAAGGAGCTGGAGAAGACATTGCAGATAATCCAGTCTGACAATATGCTGAGGAAGGCAACAACACAGAAGCACGGGAGGTAGAGTTCAGAATATTTGGTGGGAAATTATCAGTCAATTAAGCAGCTGAATGATGGCTTTGGATTTCAATGATTAGCCTTAGTCATGGCATCCCATAACCTTTGTGCTTTTTGTGCAGTTCATGCATGAATATTTAGAAATAAACCTTTGATTTAGGTAGAGTCTGTTTTATCTCAGCTTGGTTTTGTAAATGTTGAGAGATGACAACCTTAGCTGAAATCCATCGGTATAGCAGGTGCTCAGCATCTATGGAAATCAGTCTCTCTATGAAATATTAAACATATAGCCAGGACTTGAGTAGTAATAATTTAACAAGAAGACCTGTATTCCCTTTTATCCTTTTGTATATATTAAAATTAATTTCAGACAAGGTAAACTGAAAGCCATTGAATTCCTGAACCCTGTATATGTGTCAGCATTAAAAAAATGTATTCTTCCTCCTTCTTTCCTCTTCATTCTCCCCCACTTTTTCATACACCTCTTCTTCTTCTAACTTTGAAAACTAGAGAACAAGTGATTTGAGCTGCAGCCTGAAAAGCAGATTTATCTGAGAAAAAGTGGATGCATTTTCAGAATCAGGAAACTTTCTGTAAACATGTTTGGTGCCAAACAATAGCAAATAACACACCATCAATATATTTTGAATGTACTTCTACCATCTGGACATTTTTCAGGATTCTTCCCCACATTTGCAGGACTGGTGAAGTGAATGTTTATTTTCTCTTCCATCACTCCTACTGATCTAAAGTAGCATCAGCAAAATCACACAGATGTTTGCTAATGAAGTATACCTTATGGGCAGCAGTAGCAACCTGCTTATTTAGTGTGTCTAAAAAAGAAAATCCTTTGGACTAATGACATTGAACTTATGGGGGTTTTAGTCAACTTCCTCCATAAAACTGTGTCACAGTTTAATTTCATACCCACTGTGAGATCTCAAACAAATGGAAATAATGTCTTGTATCCATGGTAACAAATGAGATACACTTTACCTGATTTTGAGATGGAAATTGAATTAACTTGTCACTGCTGCATAGGTGGTATTGCCTTCAATTTATTTCTACATGAGAACACAGATACCAAGCAGATCACTTTTTGCATGGCTCTGTTTTTGCAGCAGTGTTTGGCATTCTCTAACAAAGTCTGTGATCACAAGGGAGGATGTTTTAGTTGTAACTATTTTTACAATACTTCACAGCACAGCTGTAAGAATTTTTTAAATCTTGTCTGTCTGTCTGAAATGTTTTACCAGATACATGCCTATAGGTAATGCAGAAAATATCACCTCGTAGTGTTGCTTACTGCTTGCCATTATAAGACTCAGTTTTCAGTGGGTCTATAATTTCTCCAAATTTTAACCATTTGGGTTATCGTATTCCATGTGGAGTAGCAACCAAAATTCTTTTGAAAAAATTCTCGTCAAAATGTTTCAGCCATTCCAAAGACAAAGCATGAAAACTATGCTTTTCTTGTTAGTTGTCCACCAAAGAAAATTCTTGAGGAAATGCACTTACCACCTTCATGCTTTGAAACAAGGACTCAGAATTTGGCAGTGAATCGCTATTGAATTAATGATGTGGCTTCCATATCCTTTATAAAATCTGCCTGAAACTGATAACATTGGAAGCCTTTGAAAAATGTCAGTTGGCCACATAGGAGATGGCACTCATTAGCACATTTCCAAGTAAATTTTAGAATTTAATGGTTATCCAGGGTTGTTCATGAACCACCTCCATAGCACAGCCATCGGTGCAATGTTTTACTCCTCAAGTTAGTCCTAAGTCTACAGAGCACACCTCCTTCAGCACGGCTCTCTAATTGAGCAAGTTAGTTCCACCTTTTTGGCAGGCTTAATTGGCCAAGGTATGGTGCCGTGCTTGCACAGCTGTCCTGATTCCTGAACTGGTTCATTTGCCAATAGACTGGTAATTCTGCACGGCGCTTCATCGCACCATGTAAATGTATGATAATGTTCTTTTCTCTCACAGCTCCCTGAGCGTGATGGGCTGAATTTAAGCTCCTACAGGCAAGGGTGTCATCCAAAAATCCCCATCTAAATCATGCTTCCACCTATGTTTTCTCCGGAGAGCGTACAACAGTGCTGCTATTGCTCATGCTGGGGTGTATCTGGGACATTTAAGAGGCACCTCATTAAGGGCCCTGATTCATTAGCCGAGCTGGGGTTCCTAACCCTAACGCCCAGCGACAGCATGAACTCCCCTTCCTTGGTGGTGATGCATTAAAGCCAAGCCATGGGGTTATTGCACGAGCGGGGGATGCGCGGGGTGGGGTGCCTCTCCTAAAATTAGCGCTTGGGGTGGGAAGCAAAAAACAATAGGAACAGTCGTGGGTGGTCGGCGTAGGGCTGACATAAAGGCCGATACGCTGCTGTGGGTGCCACCGACTCTGTTAGGTAGCTCAGGGTGTCTCAGCATCAGGCTGAACATATTCTGGCCCTGTTGATGACCCACATGGGTGTCACTGAGGCAGCGTGATGAAAAGTCCTCTTTTGTCTTGTCTTCTTTTTTTTTTTTTTCCCCTGGACAATATCAATTTTGCTCAAATAGCAATGCAGGTTGCGAACCTGAGCACTCAGAAGCCAGGAATTGCCAGAACTACTGCCTGTGTATCTCACTTCATATACCTCAGAGACCCTTCCCCGTTCAGTGCCGCAGAGAGCGAGCACACGGTTAATCATCACCTATTCAATACCTCCCTGTCCTTGCTGTTCAATATGCAACTCAAGGTCTTGCTGCAAAGGCCACTTTGCTCCTGACATTTCCTACCCACCGAGGACTAGCTTTTGCAGTTTACTAATCCTTTAGCATGTAAAATAAATAGCACGTGCGCCTGAGACTTATACACCTTTTTTTTTTAAAGGGCTCTGATAAATGCCAGGTGACTAGCAGTCATTACGGGCTTTCAGTGTTCATCCAGGGAAGGACAATTTGGTCTGTAATATGCCTCCCTGTTGTGCTTGGGAGGGTGAGAAGAGCTGCTGGAATGCATCGCAGCTCCCTCCTTACACTCACTGCTCCCTCAAAGGGAGATGCCC